AAGATACACATTTTAAAATTATTATAGAGTATACAGGGTGCTTCAAAAATGTGTGGCGGATATAACATATGTTTTTTTAAATGCAACACCCTATTTTTTATTTTATTTTTAGATTCTGCGTAAAATTCTATAACTTTTTGATATATATAATGTTATATACATAAAATTAATAGTTTTCGTAATATTTAAATTTGTTTATACAAATGTTAAATTGCAGTTTGGCAAAAAATTGTCAGTGGTACCATTGTTTCTGAAGTTGGAATACCAAAATTTGGTATGAGATTTCTATAGAGATTAAAAAGAAGATATATGTTAAGATATTTTAGTTAAATGCTACAGGGTGTTCAAAATATATTTATGAATTTCAAGCCAACCGAGTCAGAACCCACCGAGCGTAACAGTTAGATTTCCGCCACTAGAGTACTAGGAACAAAGAACTTGAAGGAATTGGACCGTTGTCTCTGTTCATACTATCTTTACATTTATTAATTCTGATGCTTTCATATGCATCTAATTGCCTGTAATTTGAGACTTGTTTAATTAATTTCAAATTATTAAGATCTATACAATGTTCTTTATCAACAATATATTCGGCAACGCAAGATTTATCCGGTCTACCATATCTTATCTGAGCCAAATGTTCTTTAAATCTAGTTAATATTGATCTTCTAGTTTGCCCAACATATTTCTGATTACAATCTTTACAAGAAATTTCATAAATACCCGACCTTTAGAGGTGTTTTATGCGTTCTAAAAAACTGTAAAAAGCGTATGACAAAAAATAGTGTATGTAACACGTACCTAAATTATGTTTTTTAGGACTCATCTACTATTTCGGACTCGGCTAACGCCTCGTCCGCAAACAGTAATGATTCGTCCTAAAAAACATCATTTTAGGTACTAGTTACATAAATAGCTATAACGTATCTGTCTCCACTTTCTTTGCTGAAAAGTCGAATTTTCGGAAATCATTAACCTATACCTACGTTTTCTAATTATTTTATCCACTAGTGAAGGAGAATAACAACTACACTCAGCTACATTCCCAATGTTATCTCTTTCTATTTCATATCTTTCGTTACAGGCAATTAAATGCATATGAAAGCATCAGATTTAATAAATGTAAAGATAGTATGAACAGAGACAACGGTCCAATTCCTTCAAGTTCTTTGTTCCTACTACTCTAGTAGCGGAAATCTAACTGTTACGCTCGGTGGGTTCTGACTCGGTTGGCTAGATCTTGCCACGCCCACTCTGTGCCCATTGCGCCCACTGAGCGAGTATATAAATGCTCCAATTGTAGATTGTATTTTAGTTTATAATCATCTGCTGATGATGCTAACATGGTTAGCGAAACGCGCGTCCAGTGTAAAAGTAAAAGTGTTTTGGTGTATTGTGGTGATTTAGTGTTTTATTTTTCTTTTTAATCTCTATAGAACTCTCATACCAAATTTTGGTATTCCAACTTCAGAAACAATGGTACCACTGACAATTTTTTACCACACTGCAATTTAACATTTGTATAAATAAATTTAAGTATTACAAAAACTATTAATTTTAGGTATATAACATTACACATAAAAAAGTTATAGAATTTTACGCAGAATCTAAAAATGAAATAAAAAATACGATGTTGTCTTTAAAAAAACATATTATGTTATATCCGCCACACATTTTTGAAGCACCCTGTATACTCTTTAATAATTTTAAAATGTGTCTTAATCTTCCTTATAACTTTTGTATTTAACATTTTTTTGTAAACCTCGAAACAAATGAAATAATGGACTTTACTCTATCGTTGACTCACCCTGTACATTACTTTGGTTTTTGCTAAATTCATTTTGATACCCACTTCATTGGTTTATTTAGTTCGTTAATTTGTGTTTGCAGTTCTTCACGACAATTGACAATTATTATTAGGACTATGTCATCAGTGAATCTTAGATGGTTAAGATATATTTTATTTTTTAAGTGGTTATATAAATTATTATTTAGTTATTTTGTCATACATTTTTTTTTTGGTACAAAACAAACATTAATCTAAGGATTTTGACTGTATAAAAGACTCTTTTCGAAAGCCTTTATTTTTTATAGGGTTGGTAACCCCTTAAGCATAATCATTTACTGCGAACAGGTTGTCACATTCTTACATCATAGTTATTATGCTTTTCACGAGGGCACTACTTAACAATAGCGCCAAAAAATTGTTTCCATTGTGCTCATGGAAAGTAATGAATGGTGCTTTCTTTAACACTTCACACTTATATTATTCCATTCATGCTTTTTTAATTTCATTTTTCGACAATATCGGCGAGTCCAATATCGTCGTTGTTGACAAAAATATGAAAAAATGTTTACTATAATTGTTGCCATCATTTATAAAGATTAGAAGTTTATACAGATTAGAATTATCATATATCCTAAAATAAATGATTTTGCTGTATACAAGGTGTCCCAAAAAAGTAATGAAATTAGTGTACAGGGTATCCCATTTTGGTTGAAATCATAGGGTATCTCCGTTATTAGTGAAGATAGAAGGGTGCGGTTTGCACAAACCTGTCTCACTTTTTTGTCAAACGGAAGATGCCGTAAACAAAATTTTCATAGCCCTCTTCGTTTCCGAGCTACAGGGTCTTTTTGAAAGTTTTGCAATTTGGGACACCTCCTGTATCTCTGTTATTGTTAAAGCTATCGAGAAGGTGAAAATTGTTTATTGTAGAACTTTTACGTAGAATACAGTGGCGTAGTCTGTTTTTCACCAAAAAATATTTTTGAAAATATGAACTAAAGTTATGTTTTTTTAAATGGAACACCCTGTATATTTATAAATCATATGATCTGTCTTGCCATAAGCTTCTCAAAAATATATATCACTCTATATTTATTTTCACTATTTACTGCAATATTTAAAAGTTTTTATTAAAAGATCATATTTATTAGTAGGCCATGATTGATAATAAAAGAAACTAAAGAATTATTAAAAGTATACTGCTATCTGTCTCTTGTTTTATTTTGGGAGCCGCTAATAAATTCTTTATATATTAGGGAAACTTAACTCTCTACCGCTATTTGTAAATCTTGGAATACGTGTATACGTAAGAATAATCTATCGTATCGGAAATTTTAGATATTCCTTTAGCTAATTTACGTGAAATATACTTTCAGCAAGATGGGGAACATTCCCCCTCATAACTATGGAAATATTAGAATACTGTTAAATTATTATTTTTCAAATCAATGAATTGGAACCAATGAACGCATATTGATAGCCTCCTCGATTCCCGGATTTCGCCGTTCTCGATTTCTGATTTTGGGGATTTTTGAAATACGAAATATATCGTGGGCACTACAACAATGTCGAACACCTGAAAAATGCTTTAATAATTCAAGATTTAGATATTTGCAAACCCATACCGTTATAAAAAAAAGAAAAATATATTCACAGTTTCAGTGGTAACAGTTATTTCAAAAGTAAAATATATCAATCCCAAATAAATTTTAATATGCGTATGACTATTTTAGTAAATACATCAGAAAATGATATATTTTAAATATTGCAGTAAATAGTGAAAATAAATATAGAGTGATATATATTTTTGAGAAGCTCATAGCAAGACAGATCATATGATTTATAAATATACAGGGTGTTCCATTTGAAAAAACATAACTTTAGTTCATATTTTCAAAAATATTTTTTTGGTAGAAAAACAGACTACGCCACTGTGTTCTACGTAAAAAGTTCTACAATAAGCAGTTTTCGCCTTCTTGATACCTTTAACAATAACAGAGATACAGGGGGTGTCCCAAATTGCAAAATTTTCGAAACGACCCTGTAGCTCAGAAATGAAGAGGCCTATGAAAATTTTGTTTGCAGCATCTTCCGTTTGATGAAAAAGTGGGACAGGTTTGTGCAAACCGCACCCTTCTATCTTCACTAATAACGGAGATACCCTATGATTTCAACCAAAATGGGACACACTGTACAACATGCAGAATTTTATTTTGTTTTTTTAATCGAATCCAGCTCTGTACAGGGTGTTCCATTTTCGTGTGTTTTATGGTTTTTCTCGTGCTGATCGTCGTTTACTGCGCAGCTGATAAAGAATACTGTACCGTAGTTCTGTTTTCAGTCGACAGAGTGAGTGGTTACCGGAGACAGTGTTGCCAGAGCTACTGATTAACCCGTAGACGGATTTTGGGTACAATACGTTAATAATACGGATTTTGTATCATTAAACAATTTAATATAATATATGATTAAACAAAGAACGGCGTCAGAGTTGGCTTGGAAATGAAGATCGCTGTTATTTCATATGTAAAGTATTATGGTAAAGGTTAATAATCGTCATTTCCAAGCCAACTAAACGACTTTTTTGGACCATACGACATATTCAGTACCTATAAAAGATTTTTTATTTTTGTTGTCTATTCTATGTTTGACACGAATAAATTTTTAATACATAAACGCCGATTTTTCACCCAAAAATTCTTTCGTCAAACGTATTAAAGATATTACACATTTTAATATGGCAACACTGTCGCTTTCAGTTCCACACCGTCTTCGATATGCCTTCGCTGGCCGGCTGCCGCCCAGCTGGCCGAATTAGAGAAAATAAGTGTTTTATGCGTTGGCCGCAGAACGATTGGTGTCTCCACCGTACGGAGAAATCAAATCAGCCTTCTCACGAATTCGTTAATTAGGTTGCGTATGGTCCCAATTCTTTCAATCAACGGTATAAGTTTACGAGTAGAACACCAATCAATAATTATGAAATTTATTTATAATAAACTTACTGTATGTCTTTATTTTCGTATTTTCACATTTATGTACTACTGATAAAAATAATTAGGATACATCAATTTGACTTCATTTTTTAGCGTGGCACTGATTTATGTGTATAAACTTTTAATTTTTTTATGGTCTTACAATCAGATTATTTTTGTAAACGTCACATTTTTATGTGATATGAAGGAAAAGAATGGAAATAAAACAAGGGATCTTAATTTTCACATGTCATATATTTAACATACACATTTTGGAACGGAAATTTAAGTTAATATTGCCTATAAGTATATTACAGTACAGAAATAATTTACAACCAATCAGAACTCGCCTCCAGCCTTGGCGACATCTGATTGCTATCCTTCTCTATCGCATTTTTGTATTGCGTGTGATTTTTGTCTTTTCGTCTTCGTTTATATCGAGTTGTCCCTTAGAAGAGAATCCCTATAAAAAAGAAAAACATTTTTAGTAAAATTTACAATACACAGGTTGGTCCGAACTGTATTCCGGAAACTTCGGCAACATATTCTGCAGGTAAAAATAAGTAAAACAGTTCGTATAAATGTATCTTTTAAAATGCTTAGTTTCGGAGATACAGGGTGTAGAAGTTTCATTTTTATTTCGATTTTTTCCAAATAATTTCCAAAGTAACGTCAATATTTAGATGAAAATTGGTATCTGTGAGTTTTTTGACATGGGAAATTTGATTTTGACGTCAATATGACTCCTACTTGCAGAGGGTGCCATCTACATATTTTTTTTAACTGGTTTGAAGAGTAATAACTTTTCATCCATACTTGTATAAACTACTGAGTAAAAAAATATACATTTAAGACGTTTTTTACGTAAAAAAGGTATCTTTCTAAAAATCACTACGAGTAATGGTTCTCGAGATATTTGGAATCTAAATTATCAATACCTGTCATCATTGACATAAATTAAGCATGTTGACTAAATAGTTATTAGACTGAAATCATAAATTTGAAATGTTTTTCTACTAAAAGTTCAACAGAAACTGTTTTATCATTTTTTCGAAAAAAAATTATGATTAATTAAAAAAACCAAAAGTTCCCAAAGTTATCATTTCAGTCAAATAACTATCTACTCAACACGCTTATTTTTTGTCAATAATGACATGTATTGATTATTTCCATTCTAAATATCTTGAGACCGGTTGCTCGTAGCGATTTTTACCAAGAGATATTTTTTACGTAGAAAATCACGGAAATGTATATTTTTTCACTCAGTAGTTTTATACAGGTATGGATGAAAAGTTATTACTCTTCAAAACAGTTAAAACACAACATGTAGGTGGCGCCCCCTACAAATAAGAGTCATATTGACATCAAAATCAAATTACTCATGTCAAAAAACTCTCAAACACCAATTTTCATCCAAATATTGACGTTACTTCAGAAATTAATTGGGAAAAAATTGAAATAAAAATGAAATTTCTACACCTTATATCTCCAAAACTAAGCATGGTAGATTGTAGGACATACATATTTATACGAACTTTTTTACTTATTTTTATCTGCAGAATATGCCGCCGAAATTTCCGGAATTCAGTTCGGACCACCCTGTATATAATTACCGGATGCGTCTCAAAAGGAGCTCACCCCTATAACTTTTTTATTTTTTTAGATAAAAAATCGAGATTTGGTATGTTAGTTTTGGTTTGGTTAGATAAGGTTTGTTTCAACCCGCCGCAGAACCGCCACCGAACAATCACGCTCGTGCGCAGTAATTCAAATGTGTTCCAATCGAGATTTGAAGGTTATCAGACGATCCTATTTGCGTACCAACCTTACCTTGGGATCGTTTAGTTACGATTTCAGAACGGTAATTTCGGTACATGGTCCAAATTGAGAACTGTTTGGGTTGACTTGCGCATTAAAGCATATTGGCAGGGATTATCGATTTTTAACAGCTGATTCTGGTCCGGCGTCCGGCTGAGGCTTCTGTCTTGGTTATTTTTTACAAATTCGAATACGTGTGCGTTATACTTTTGCTTGTGAGTTTGTGTGGAGTAAATCGTTCGGAAATTTTAATTATTTTTTTATTTATAAAATAATGTTCAAAGATTCTACCACTGCAATGAAATAACAGGAAACTACGCATAACAGGATCATAAAAGAGAGGATAGGTAAGTGAGTTAGTGAGTACCTATACAGTTGAAACAACACTTACCAACAATTGCTGGATTCTGATTCTCCATTTCAAGAATAATAATTATTATATTATTGCAAATTGCAAACAAAAATAATAGGGTTATGTTATGAAATTCTAGACAAAAACAAAAAACCGATCGATACACTTTTAACAGTCCCGAAAACAATCCACAAAGCGTTCCAACGTTGATACTTTTTGCACCGTCACGAAACTATTCGAAGTCCGCGCATGCTAACAAAGTGCAAGAAAACCGATTCGAGTACGATTTCGAACCGATCCCGAAATGCTGGTTGGAACAAACCAATAAATTAGGAATGATTGACGCATTCAATTATTGTTTTCAGTTACTTCCTGTTTCACCGGAAATGACTGCAACTTTTGATTTTTAAATGGCACCCTCGGTATTTTGTTACTTTATTCGATAGAACATAACACTCTGAATAGAATGACATAATCTATGTTAACTTTTGACATTTTCGAATATGGTTTTTTTGGTTTGGTTTGGGTTGCAACATGCGATTAATAACGACAATTTGACTCGAAATATCAAGAATGTGGTACCAAATTATTCGTAAAAAAAATACTTTTTCCAAATATGCTAATGAGCCACTCTCGTTCCGTTTGAAAAAATTGAGATATGATTAAAAATACGATTTGGGCATCTTTTAACCCGGATAAGACGCCTAAAACATTAGACGATCAAATCTATTTTACACATATTCGTAGTAGAGAAGAACAACCGTACGGTGTTGTTCTTCTCTGCTATAAACTACTGTAAAAACCTACCTTAAGCTGCTACACCTATATAAATTGGTGACACCCGTATACGAGCATGAGAAGTTCTTGTCATTGTTGCACATGTACAGGACCTCTTTGGAATCATCCCTATGCGTTGTTACCATCTGTGATCGTTTGCCGTATCTAAAAAACGCCATATTTTTATATTTCAACATACACCAAGAAAATACTTAAAAATAAAGAAATCTCTTTTTTTTAATTTTGTTTATATCTCAACTAAATCAAAGGAACCATTAATAAATTTACTATTAAAAACTAATGTGTGTTAAAAGCTGTTCTCTGGCGTTAGTACTAATACAAGAAATGCCAAATTTGAAAAAAAAAACTTGTAAAATGTAATTATCGCTAAAACTTTGTATTTTCTAAAAGTTATTTATCTTTTCAAAATTCCCTTCACAATCTTAATTTTCCCTATATCTAGGTAAAATGCTGTAAATATAGCAACCACGAATTACCTGGGTCCTAAATAGAATGCATCAGCTCGTGGTCGTACGTTTATGGAACCGGCGTTGTCAGATTTCCCCGCTCGTCCGTACCTGATCATTTGCTTGAACGAGTGTAAATCTAGAATAAAAAAGAACTATCTATCATTTATCGAACATTAACATGTACCATCATCTGCTGATGATGCTAACATGGTTAGTGAAACGCGCGTCCAGTGTAAAAGTAAAAGTGTTTTGGTGTATTGTGGTGATTTAGTGTTTTATTTTGCTGTGTAATACCAGAGGTTCCAACCCCCAACTGTAATGTACTACACAAGGGTACTACCTAGATAAAATACATATCATCAATTACAGGCCCTCAAACCATACAAAATCTTAAATTACAGAGAATAACGAAGATACAAAGAACATTTGATATGTAGTTTTTCTACAAGCATTTGTGCTACTTGTAAAAGATCTTGGAGCCCCTATACATATAGACGCTCAGTTCTTTAACACAGGTGGACAGTGCAGGCCTGTTTGCGCAGTTTTACGCTAAGTTCTTGCTTTTTAAGACTTTGTATAGTTTTTTTTTTGCTAAAAGAACTTCTTAAATTATTAATCTTTTTAACAAGTGCTTCCCTATTTCAATCAATCTCCTTTAGTTCTTTAGTTTTTCTACTATATGGAGTGTTCGTAAGATTCGATTTTTTTATTCCTGCACAATACATAATCCTATTTTTTTTATGTTCCTTAAATATGGTATGCTTTTATACGGGGTGCGTCTGAAAAGTGGCTCACACCTATAACTTTTATATTTTTTCAGATAAAAAATGGTATTTGGTATGTTAGTATATGACATAAATTAGGATTTAGGGCCCAATTGGTATTCAACTGTTTTTGGTCATTTCCTCTTTCACCGGAAATTACTACAACTTTTGATTTTTAAATAATATCCTCGAAATATTTTCACTTTATTCGATAGAAAATGACACTCTGACTAGAATGACATATCATATGTCAACTTTTGACACTTAAAGAAATCCTATTTTAAATTTCAATCCAGAGTGCTATGCATATGGTTGTGTTAAAAACACTAATTTTTAATCAAGAAACCTTGGAAAAATAGATTTGATCGTCTAATGTTTGTAGTGTCCTGTCGTGACCGATTAGAAGATGTCGAAATCGTATTTTTAATCATATCTCTTTTTTTTTCAAATGGAACGAGACATTTCCGGTGAAACAGGAAGTAACCAATAACAATTGATTACGTCAATCAATCCTAATTTATGTCATATACTACATATAACATATCTAATCTCGTTTTTTTTATCTGAAAAAATAAAGAAGTTATAGAGATGAGCCACTTTTGCGACGCATCCGGTATACCTTCTCCAAAAAATTAACGCACCACTTTGAAAAGATAATTTGATTTCATTTTAAAACAGACCCGGTAGGTATATTTTTCCCAGAGAGTAGATTTATCGAAAAATTGTAAGAGACTTTTTTTGTAGAGCGTTCAATTTTGTATAAGAATATGTAATTGTCATGGCTCATGGTTGTGAGCTGTGAGAGAACAAGATCGAGAGAAAAATAATATTTGCAAAAAGTAGCAAATTCGCATGTAATTTAAATGGAAATAAATCGTCTTTGGGGCAAGGTTTATTGTGAATATGAGGGGTTTACAATGGTCTGTTATCTTTTTTTTTACAATAAACAAAAAATTTAGAGGGCGTCGTTAGAGAAATGATCAACTTTGTTAACTTTGTAAATAACGGACACCCTATACTGTTCACTGTTCACTTACCTTGAGTCTTCGCATGCAAGAGAACACTGTTAAAGAGGATCGTAGCCAAATATAACAGCAGTATCACTATTCGTCGCGTATGCATCTGTAAAATAAAAAAAATAATTTGTAAAATCTGAAATGTCGATTATTACAGTTGACGATGTTTTTTTTACCAAATTTGCAAATAAAAAATAAAAAAGTAACGGCACGCGGGATTCCCAAGCGGTCACCCATCCAAGTACTAACCGCGCCCGACGTTGCTTAACTTCAGTGATCGAACGGGAACTGGTGCGCCAACGTGGTATGGCCGTTACATGTTAATAACAGAGTTAATAAAGGTATATTTCGCGAATTATGTGGGTATGATTAAAGAGATTATTATTATAATAATGTATAAGTAGTAATTAAATTAATTTATAAAAAAATAATATGTACCTATCTTATAAAATTATTAGGAGCTTCCATGTCGGTTAACGGTATAGGTATAAAACAGACGATTACAAAAAAAACATGACAGATATCGTATTCCACTCAGGAAAATTCCGTTTAAAAATACCTATATTGGCTTTATTTTCAGTTATTTTGTGACCGACCAAACGCAATACCGATGGAATCCTTGGTGTAATAGAATTCGCCGATTCCTTCTTTTGATATCAAATACTGGCACGCTTTTAAAATGTTATTTATATTTCGATATTATTTTTATTGACGATACTTGAGAAATATAGTTTTCTATCGTACTCGTGGAAACCCTCCAAAATGTTATTAAAATTTAAATTTAAATGTTTCCGCCATTTTTTGAAAACTGATGGTAAACAGATTGTTTCTGCAAGGTTGCCATATATACCTATATTTTGAGGAAAAAAACTAATGAGAAATAGTATAGATATTTGAAGACTTGAAGTAAATAATGTTCTAAGTGCCAAAAAATTCATCTATTTTTTGTAAAATGTCCATTAAAGCAGTCCATAATCAACAACATATACAGGGTGTTCCAATATTCCGTGGACATAGAACTACCCTGACCTACTATGTATTTTTGGAATCAAAATAAGTTCGTTCGGCACGATTTTACCTAGAGGGCATCAAACTTCGATGACGCCGTTTTTTTTTCGATCATACGGTAATATTTACTACATTTTACTACAGAACTGATTTTGAAAATATGTAGTACTGTTTGACCAGCGGATCTGAAGCTACGGAAGGAATGCGAGAAAAAAAAATCGATATTGCCACGTTTATCTATAAAATTGCCAGACATGAACTATAAATTTAATATATTTTTATTATATATAATGTGTTTAGCATATATTCTGACGTATATTATTAAGGAATTTTAACGTAGTTCATATTGTTCGATATGTTTTATTTAATAACTTATTTCTTTCATTCTGTATAATCTGCTTATTATGAAAGTTGAAGATTTTTCAACGATATCATTAGCAAACCGGCATCGCCGCGCATGGCCGCCTATTCGTCGAACATGATTGGCCAGAGTACGTCACAGGATTTGTTACCACGCGGTTGCCATGGCTTTTACGCCTTTCCTATTCGCTTGCTTTATCCCCAACTTCACGGTCTCTTCTGAAAAGAGTAGGAATATTGAATACTATTGAAATATCCAGTGGCGGTGTCATTTTTTTGATCATTATTACTTTATTTCATTATTTTATACCGGTTATCCTAAACTTTATTCCTATATTTTTAGTATATTTGATAGTTAAGTTGTGTTTTATTGTTTTGTTATCTTGTTATAATGTTTTTCGTTCGTAGTTTTTAATTATTAATATCAAGTTTGATCGTATATTTGTGTTTTAAAACGAATAAATTTGTTAAGGGTAAGACGCTACATAGTCAGACAAGAGAAATAATAGCTAATTTATATAGGTAAGTTAATAATAACGTGGATGAAATCTCATTTGGTGTATTTCCTTGTGTTCATAATAGGGTTTGCGATGAAGAAGCTACAGAGAGTTCGCTTGAGTTGCCGCTTAAACGTAAACTTGAGCGGATATTTCTTTATACCGGAGTTAGCGTATCGGCTATAAAAAAATTCACACAGAAGATAAAAAAAAGGCTGAAAACTAACCCCGATAAAATGATATCCTCTCTGGAAAGAAACGACCACGTGAGACTGCTGTCGAAAAGCTCAACGACTTTTTCGAAGTGGTCAGGAATTTGATAAATAGATTTTATCTCGAATTCAAACTCGTCCCCACAATTAGAAAGCTTTTGCAAAAATTGCAGGAAGAATCGAATTTTCCTTTTGCAGGGAAACGCTTAGGGGGTTATTAAAATCAAATGAATTTTTTTGGCGTAAATGTTAAAATAACAGATAAATATTAATGGAGCGGCCCATTATATTGCAGAGAGAGATATAAATATATATACGCGAAATTCGAAAATATAGCCAAGTATTATCTATTTGGATGTAACATATGGGTAGACAATGACCTAACCTTTAAAAACTGCTGGCGGAGCGATACCATATCTGGTGTAATAGGCAATATCAGATCTACTGATGAGTAAAATTATGTTTTGTTTGCGCTTCCAAAGTTAACTATTTTCAAGATTTTTTTTTGCTGGAAATAGTTATATCTAAAATTATGTATTATAGAAAAAAATATAGTTAGTACAGATATATAAATAAATATACCTCAAGACTCAGTCTTGATCATCTGCTGATGGCAGACATGGTTAGCGAAACATGCGTCCAGTGTAAAATTAAAAGTGTTTTGGTGTATTGTACTGATTTAGTGTTTTATTTTGCTGTGTAACACCAAAGGTTCCAACCCCCAGCTGTAATTATTTCTTCTATTATATTAACAACACAATAATAAAATGATTCAAAATATTTAAGGGAGCTTTAATAAAAGCTTTTAGTGTTTATCTGCTAACTCAACAGTAACGATTCAAACAGCATAAAGTTTTTTGAAAAAAATTATTAATCTGAGTATTATATTTATGATACACATTATTTTCATATAACACCGTACGCCCATGCCTATTTTATGAATGAAATTGGGCGTGTTTTGTTTACAACTGCATTCCCCTGCCGATACCCCGTAGCTACAGATCCGTTGGTCACACTATAGTTCTATGTCCACGGAATATTGGGACACCTTCAATAAACATAAAGGACCGTCCCCATTTAGTTTATTTTAATATTTTATCTGTGACACACTATATTATTTTTGATTAATAAGATTAATACATATAATAGCCACGTAGGATAATCTCTAAATTATTCTTCCACAAATTTAAGGAAATTATTGGAACACCTAAACTAGTCGTGGCAACGTCGCCGAACCGTTTAAAATTGTTTTGACGTTTCCAAGCCCGTTGCTAGGCAACCCATAGTGATATTTTTGACGTTCCATAGCAACCTTGTGGGTTTTGTTTTTGTTGTTTATTAACATCTAAAAACAGTCTTGTTTGATTAAATTCATCCCAATTAAGTGTTTTCGGTTAAATAATTGTGAAAATGAAACAGTACACGGCGTTCCGGCTGGTTAACTCGAATATTTGGATAGTGTAAGATCGTTATTGTTCATCGTCTTGAAGCAACACATCGGTTAGCGAACTGATTAGCATAGTGGAAAGGTAAGCGAAACATTGTCAAGTTTCAAAATAGGGTTTTAAAGTGGCGGAAATTGTTGCCCTATGCCTGGAGGGCCAAATAACGTTCATATTTTGAATAAATTAGCGCGCAATGTTAGGCCAAAGTTGTCTTGTTCGTTGAGTCGCGTTTTCTATGTGTTGTTATTAGAATTCGGAGGTTCTATTAGTTCCAGTAGTTCAAGTTTTTAATTTAAATTTTAATAAAAAACGAAAAAAAAAACGGCGTCAGCGATGGCTATGCTTTTTCTTTAAAAGTTATTATAGAAAAGAAGAACTCTGTATTTCGAAGAGGAATTGAGTAAAATATCAAGTATGCTATATTGTGGAGGTAATTTTAAACTCTTTTCAATGAATTAAAAATATACAGGGTGTCCCATATAAAAAATAAAATTTTGAACATTTCTCGCGGAATTCATTAACTCAGTGGAGGTGAAAGATACCCTCTCATAACTACTAAGTATTTCTAATTATTGTCTAGATTATACGGAAGAATGAGGAACCTTTATTCTTCCGCAAGTACAGGGCCGGATCTACCTACGGGCTGTTTGGGCTGCAGCCCAGGGCCCCGAGGTTACAAGGGGCCCCCAGGCCCCGCGAAAAACAATAGACCCATTGGTGGGAACTGTTGAATCGTGAAATAAAATTAAAATTCAGGTTAAAAGTTTAAGCCAGACAAGATGGCCTTGCCACTATGATGCTGTCAAAGCCTAAAAATCATTATGATGACATTATGAAAATTTTCAAAAGTTTCAGTGAAAATGAGGTTGAGAAAGTTGATTTCCGGAAAGAGGCACGAAATTTATTCAATAAAATGGCGAAACTCGAGACTGCAATTTTGATTATCTTTTGGAAAGAAGTTTTGGAGAGATTTCATTTAGTTAATAAAAAAATACAGAGCCCTGGTTTAGACATTTGTGAAGGCAACAAGTTAATTGTTTCTTTAAAAGAGTTTGTGAGCAACATACGACATCAATCAGATCAAATGTTACAGGAATACGACGAAAAAACTAAAAAATTAAGTACTAATGTAATAATAGACTACAATTACATAAACAAGAGACGCATTATCCCAAAATTTTCAGATAAGTCTACAGGTGAATTCTCAGTATACGGCGCAGAAAGATTTAAAGAGACACGTTAAAAGTTGCGTTGGATAAGCTGATTATGGATTTAAATAAAAGGAGACAAGTCTATGAGACATATAGCAAAAAATTCAAATTTTTAATGGATTTGCAAGACAAAAATATCGAAAACATAGATTTGGAAATTGCACGTCATATTATTGATTACTATCCCGATGACGTAGACGAGCATTTAGTGAATGAGTGCATTCAATTAAAATCGTACTTACTCCAATCTATGTCTGAGTCTTACACCTCTTGCAGTGACATTTTTATGCTCATGTATGAAAATAAACTTATTAACATGTTCCCTAACTGCTATACCATTTTAAAGATTTTTTTAACATTGCCAATCACTAGCTGTGAAGCAGAACGCTCCTTCTCCAAGATGTCCTATGTAGAAAATAAATATAGGACAACAATGTCGAACCATCGACTAAATAATTTATCACTTCTTTCCATAAATTGTGATTTAACAAAAGACCATCAAAAGACTTGGAATGTGATGACCAAATAACTGTCAATTTCTGTGACTACAACCTATCAATTTCTTTTACTAATTCATAATAAGTAAATAAATAAAATTGTTTTATTGTTTTTTTTATATTCTTATTAAATATCACTATTTCGGTTTCTCTCTCACCCAAAGTTTGCCTGGAAGAGATTGCTACCACAGCAATAAGGTCGCCTTTTGTACAACTAATACTTGCGTAGATTTAAGTAACATTTATGTTACTTAAATCCACATATCACAAATACCGAAGTCTACAGCAGAATAGGCAGAAAAAGAGAATTGCTCAATATAATAAAAATAAGAAAAACATCATACTTAGGGCATATATTGAGAAATGAAAAATACCACGTCTTACAATTGATAGTTAAGGGTAAGATTGAAGGAAAGAGAGGTCTCGGCAGGAAGAAACTATCTTGGTTGAGAAAAATCAGAAACTGGACTCACCTAACTTTTGAAGAACTTATAAGGAAAGCCGAGAATCGTGAAGATTTTGCCAATGTGATCGCCAACCTCCACGAAAGAGACGGCACGTAAAGAAGAAGAATAATAATATCATTATAGAAACAGTTTTTTGATATGGCTATTAGTTGAGTACTTATGTAGGCCCCTAAGTATATATATCCATAGGATTAGATCCATGGCCACTAAGTCAGGCGGCCTCGACGGCCAACGGCTGGGATCTCGGTTAGCTATTCAATTATTCTTGAAATTGGCTGCAAAAATTTGCTGATAACTTCAGCGTTCAGAGGCGGTGCGTCGTATGCTGAAAAAATATGTTTTCGAGTTCCATTAAGGGCATATCATCAATAAGGGGTCCAAAGCCTACTAGTTAAAAGTGGCGAACTTTTAAAAATTCTGTATTTCGAAGGGGATTATAACAAAATATCAAGTGTGCTATATTTTTGGAAAGGTAATTTTAAATTCTTTTCAGTTAATTAAAAATATAGGGTGTCCCAAATAAAAAATCAATTTTTCTTTTGATAACTCTTAAATTATTAATTTAAAAAAAATATACTTAAACCATTAAATTCTACGTAAAAAGTTACTTTGGAAATGTTTTCATAGAAATACAAAATTTTCCATAGCAAAAAAGTTACAGCGACTTGTTAAAAATACACATTTTTGAAAAACACCCCGTATCTCCGAAACGGTAACAGATATTGATGTGCGGTTTTCACCATCATGTTTTTGATGAAAATTGAGCTCCAGACACCGATTCTCGTCCATCTCCTATAGAAAAGGATGTTTCCCTTTAAAAGCGACCAATTTGGCCTACCCTGTACAACTCCCCATAAAATTTTTCTTGCAAAAACTTTTCCATTATTAGAAGCTATCCCACTTCCCTCCAGAAATCTGCCCTTTTCCAATCTATTTCCACCGCGAGACCGTTTCATCTCTAGCGGCCATTAACAAAATATTTGCTTCGAGTATGTTATTCCAGATCCGCCCTAACACCCCTCCAGTCGGCCCTTTATTAGCTTTCTCCAAGTCGCGAGATAACTTAGTCGTTCCCTTCACTCTTCTCGCCATTATTTCAATCTCTGACTAGGACTTTGGTCCGAATGTTTGCTTAATACATCGTAGAGAGGTTAGCGCAAGGATATTTAAAAATAACGAATTTTTATTGATATACTTCAGTGCATTGTTATGCATGAGAATGAAGTTTCTCCCAAAATCATTGGCATATGGTAACACGACAGGCTCAAGAACTAAATCACGATATGTGATTCGTGTTAGAAACCTTTCAAGAAAAACGAGATCGGTTTTTCGGCCTAACTGGACTCCTCCCCAGACCATAACTGTTCCACCTTGATAAGGGTGCACTTCCTGAAAATCCTGATCCAACCGAATAAGATTTTCCGGTTCTCTCCATACCCTAAGCCTTCTCGAATCCGGATGAATTCCAAAGCGTGACTCATCCGTGAAGAGAACATTGGCCCATTGTTCATTCGACCACTGAACATGATCTTGAGCCCACAAATATCGTACCTCTCGATTTCCTCTCGTTCAGAGTTGAGCTCTCCAGGGGCGTCTGCTTCTTAAGTTGACCTCTCTTAATCTATTGCGAACAGTGTCAGGACTAACGGTTACATTATGTGTTTCCTGGAGAATTAAACTAAGCTCTGGTGCTGTAAGAGTTGGTCGGCGTCAAGCATTTAATTGTAAAAAATGATCTTGCTGAGGGGTAGTAATGCGATGTCGCCCTGTGTGCCTTTCAGCAACATCACCACTTTCACGGTAGCGTGCACTTAATCGCGATATTACACTTTGCGTTGTATTTAATGCTCTAGCTACGTCGATTTGGCGCATTCCAGCTTCGAGCATACCCATTTGACAAAAAATGCACAAACACTTCTGCAAATATCCCAAATTTGGAAATAACTAGTGTGACTACTTCGTTTCAATCGAAGTAGAAAGAATCGGCCTACAAATATGTGGTTGTTTATTCAAAATATTTATTTTTAACTTTAATAAAATGATATCCCTAGATTTTTCCGGTGTGTGTATTTCTTATTTTTGAATGGATTTATATCAAACCATGCTAAATGTATTTTTTATTGACATCAGGTCAATAAAAGATACTTACATAAACATGAAACGAGATGTAATTAACGAAATATCATCGTAATAACAGCTTTTTAAGAATCGTCTAGATTTACTTATTTCACTGAGATTTATGAAAAAACGTCCTTTGCCTCGAGTACAACGTTTTGTGAAATAGGAAACGAATTGAAATAGGAAACGTCTAAAAATCTATTGGGTGTGGAAACTAAATCTGGAGTTTTTGCTTTAACTATTTATTTAAACAAAGTAAAAGATGAATAAAAAACAAACTAAAACTAATGAAACATAGATTATAGAGATTGGCTTACAATGAACTGTCACTCTACATATAACCTTTAACATTTCTCATATAGATGGCGCAACGTATTTTGAACAATGGAATTAAAATAAAAATTGTTTTCTAACAGCTCCCCTTAATTCAATCGTTCACAAATCGTTGTCCATATATTTATTATTCTAGTCCCATATTCTGAATAAAATAATTATGTTTTGAACTCTGTAAACCTTTAGTTAACACATCAGCTATCATTTCATTAGTTGGAATGTACTTTAAATCTATGTCACCTTTTTCTACATTTTCTCTAATAAAATGATACTTTACATTTATGTGTTTTGTTCTGTTATGAAATACAGGATTTGATACTAACTTGTGAGCACTTTGATTATCGTTATACATAATAATTGTATCAGAGTGATCTAAAAGTTCTTTTAGGAAACCTTTAATAAAAATTGCCTCTTTAGCTGCTTGTGAAATAGCTACATATTCAGCTTCTGTGCTTGAAAGCGCTACCGAATGCTGTTTCTTAGCTTCCCAAGAAAAACTACTTTTACCAAGTTTAAAAATAAAACCTGTATATGATTTAGCATCATTTATATCGTTACCCCAATCTGCATCTGTGTATGCGGAAACTGATATAGAATCTTTCTTAAAAGTTAACTCTTTATTTATTGTTCCTTTTAAATATTTTAAAATTCTCTTAGCATGTTTAAAATGAATACTTTCATAACAATTATTAAATTGACTCATGAAACTTACAGCGAATGCTATATCTGGTCTAGTATTTACTGCTAAAAACATTAAAGAGCCTATTAAACATCGAAAAGGAATTGTTTCATCACAAGTTAAACCTTTTTCAAGTTTTAAATTAGCTTCAATTGGTGTTGAAACTGTTTTTGCTTCTGCCATAGAAAACTTATCTAATAACTTCAAAATATAATCTTTTTGATTAATTCTTATTTCATGTTTAATATTATCTCTTGTTATATTTAAACCTAAACATTTCTTAATTTCACCAAGATCTTTAATTTTAAAATTTTCTGATAAAACCTTTATTAATAAATTCTTTTCTTCATTATTATTTGAAAAAATAATAAAATCATCTACATATAAAGCTATTATAACAATACTATTAGAAATTTTCTTATAAAATACACAAGGTTCATACAATGATATTTTATAACCTAATTTTTGTAATAATTTTTCTACTTGTTTATTCCACATCCTAGAGGACTGCTTCAAACCATAGATTGACTTTTTCAACAAACATACCTTGTTATTTATTTCATATCCTTAACCATTAACGTCATTTTTCACTGTAAAAACCCATTTGCACTGTACTATTTTTCTGTCTTTTGGTCTTTCAACTAGTTCCCAAACTTTGTTTTTCACTAATGATTGGTATTCTTCATCCATTGCTTCTTTCCACTTTAACTTTTCACTACTTTTCATAGCTTCCTGAAAACTACACGGATCTGTCAATAATTCACTATGGTAAAGAATGTAATCTTCATATTCTTTTGTCTTCTTGTTTCTCTCGGATCTTCTTTTGTTGAATAATTTCTTCTTCTGATTCTTCATCATTCTGATCTTCAACTTCATTTTGATCTTCAATTTCTATAAATTCTTCTTTTATAAACTCTGTTTCTTTTCTTTCTTCTTTCAGACTGTTTTTGGTTAAACTGATTTTCAAAAAATACTACATCTCTGGACTTTATGATTTGACCTGGATTTTCTATGTCAAACAATCTGTAGCCTTTTGTATGTTCACAATAACCAACAAAATATACTGTTTACTTTGCTGACAATTTTGTCTTGGTACATGTGCTTGTGCAATACAACCAAATACTTTTAAATGTTTTAGATCAACTTTCTCTTCAGTCCATTTTTTCTTCTGAGGTTTGTCTTTTACTGCCTTATGGGGTGATCTGTTTTTGAGATAAACAGCTGTATTTATTGCCTCTGCCCACATCTTATCATCTAGATTTGCTTCTTGCAATAAACACCTTGCTTTCTCTACAATTGTTCGATTTGTTCTCTCTGCTACACCATTCTGATCTGGAGTGTACCTTACTGTAAGTTGATGTTCTATGCCTTTGGATTTCAAAAAATCTTCAAATGTTGAGTTTACGTATTCTGTTCCATTATCACTTCTGATTTTCTTTATTCTCTTTCCAGTTTGATTTTCAACTAGTACTAAGAATTCCTTGAATACTGTAAATACTTCTGATTTAGATTTTAGAAAATAAGCAAAATTTTCCTACTGTAATCATCAATTAACGTAAAGATATATCTTGCACCACTCCAAGATTTTTCTGGTATCGGACCACATAAGTCTGTGTGTATTAGCTCAAGTAACTCTTTAGCTCTTACCTCCTCTTTTGTTAAACGGCTTTCTGCTTTGTTTTCCTAGTAAACAAATACTACATTACTCATTTTCTCATAATTGTAATCAACTCCTGTAGCCATTCCATTCTTTAACAAATTCATGCTATAGTGATTTAAATGACCAAGTCTTTTATGCCAAAGGTCTTGAAAATTTGTACTGTTAGTTAAATAAGCTTGTTCCATAGTTAAATCTAACTTATAGAGTCCATTTTTATTGCTTGCTGTAACTACAATTTCACCAGTAGCTTTGAAATTTTCTGAATCGTAAATATGACAACCTTCTGAGCTAAATACTACTGTGTGCCCCTTCTACCATTTTACTTACTGATAGTAAATTTGCGCAAACCTGGTATGTAAACAATGTTTGTTATTGTTTTCTCACCCTTTGTTGTTTTACTTTAGCTTTTCCTTCGCCTTCATGACATTTTCTCATTGTTCGCTACAATGACCTGTGATTCTGATTTTCTTGAAAATCGTAGAGTAACTCTCTCTGAAATGTCATATGAGCCGTTGCTCCTGAATTTATATACCAATTTTGTTGTATATCTCTGATTCATCTCTCTCTGAAGAACAGTTTGCAAAGCTTTTTCTGTTTTTACATTTTTCGTCTCTGTTTGACTCTTGTGTCTGCTTTCTTCTGCATCTGGCTTCTTACATTGATTTTTGTAATGTCCTGACAATCCACATTTGAAACACTTTATGTTCTTCTTTGTTTGAAACTTTTTCTTAGAAAATAAAGCGGTCTCATGTTTTCCTTATTGTCCTTGCCATACTTGTCATCTTGCATCAATCTTGCCTTGACGAAATCACTTGTGATCTTGACATTTGAATTTTCAATTGCCATTACCATCGGATCATATTCAGATGTTAATCCACTTAGCATTATAACACCTAAAAATTCATCGTCGACTGGTTGTGCCATATCAGCTAATTTTTGTGCAGCAAAATAAAAACACTAAATCACCACAATACACCAAAACACTTTTACTTTTACACTGGACGCGCGTTTCGCTAACAATGTTAGCATCATCAGCAGATGATTATAAACTAAACTAAGTTTAGTTTATAATCATCATTAGTTTATAATCATCTGCTGATGATGCTAACATTAGCCGAAACGCTATCAATGATAAAGTAAAATGTTTTAACAGTATTTATATTTTGCACAATGTACACCAAAGGTTCCAACCCTCAACTGTAATTTTTGTGCTATAGACAACGTCTCGTTTACATAAGCTTCCATAGTAGAATAATTTTCTAATCTAATTCTAACTAATCTTCGTATGAGACTCAACCTCCTAGACAAACCTTGATCTTCATAAGCCTTCTGTAAGTTATCCCATGCTTCTTTTGCTGTTTTGGCTAACCTTACATGTGTGTAAGCTATAGGTTTAATCATTAAACAGATTTTTGCTAAAGCCTTTTCATTACATCGTTTCTTCTCTGACTCTTTTGATTGGTCATCTGCTTGGTAACCTTCGATGCTTTTCCATAGATTTTCGTGTATTAAAGCCATTCTCATGCCAAACTTCCAGTTATTATAATTCTCCTCCCTGCCAGTTTTCAAATGCTAACTGCACCTCAGCCATTTTGTGACAAAATTATAACAATCTTCTGCAAAAGTTCGTCCTAGTCGTTTTAACTTCTTTACTTTTTCAAACAAATACGTTCTAGTGTAAAACACCTTCTGTTATCTGGGCCCATAACCTATTGGGTGTGGAAACTAAATCTGGAGTTTTTGCTTTAACTATTTATTTAAACAAAGTAAAAGATGAATAAAAAACAAACTAAAACTAATGAAACATAGATTATAGAGATTGGCTTACAATGAACTGTCACTCTACATATAACCTTTAACATTTCTCATATAGATGGCACAACGTATTTTGAACAATGGAATTAAAATAAAAATTGTTTTCTAACAAAATCCCTCCACGCCCTCCTCACGAGTAGTTTTCAGGCGCTTTTAAGAATCAAAGTAGGTCGAGGCAAACCGAAATGGATCAAGACAACTGGAAATGAATCGAAATGCGACAAAGTTGGGCGACGATATAATATTTTTTCGTATACTCGCTATTTAAACCCGTGTATTTGTATATACTAGTTGTTTACGATATTCTCCGATGGTGGCAGCACCGGCGGAGAATGCACCAAGCCTATATGCGCGTTATGCGTCCTTGTATTCTTTAGTTATTGGCGTGACTATATGTAATAGTTAAATGTACATTGTAATTCAACATCGGATGTCTAATATGAAGCCAAGAATAATTATGGAAACCACATATAAATCACGAACATGAAACACACAAAACACACATAAATCAATTAATGGCTTTCTCTATGGACACAACATACTACCGCAAGCTGCTGGATATTCTATTAGTTTTAATTATTGTATTTTTTAAACATTGTGAATGATCGTAAATTAAAAAGTATAAAATGTAATTGAAACCACTAATTATAATAAATGACCACAGTAAAATTAAAGAAAATAGTTTTACTAATTGATATTTCTATTCCTAAGAGCAACAAAGTAAATTTACAGAAAAAAATAACAAAGTATCAAGATTTGAGAGTAGAAATAATAAATATATTGCAAATGGAATTCGTCCAGGTAGTATCCTTGATTATTTCAGCTATTGGAATATGGAAAAATAAATATAGGAGAAATATTTTTGTGCATTAAAAAATGGGGGGAAAACCTCAAATTTAAAATATGCGCCGCAAATTTTTAGAACAGGAAATGATTCAAAAGAGATAAATATTTGACGTGAAGGCAAAGGTGAAGGCTTCAAAAAAATATAAAAATTTTATTTTAGATGTCACATTAAATAAATTATCGATTTTTATTCAGCAGCAATAGACTGGGCTTAATATATAAAAATAATTGTTTTACATTAAAAAAAATAAAAACAAAGCTTTTTTGGGTAATGTTTGGTTATGTTACTTTTATTCTGTTATCTATGGTTACTTTTCATTTCTTAGGTTTATGCGTCATTAGCGCCACTGTAGTTATTTGGTGAACCCTTATTCTTCTCATTTTTGTGACCACTTTTTCAAATAAAGTCCCATAAGAGATATTTCTCCTCATCTCTACACTCCATATATTGGAATCATATCCCTGTTAACCTGAAAGAACAATCAAAAGTAAATAGTACTGGGTCTGTGGTTGGTTCCTTGTGAAACATCGTTGAAATATTATTAGGTATTTTAATAAAACGCTTTTAGATGTACCAACATTTTTTTAGTGAGAGTAACTTTTAATTTACATATATGTTTCGGCTTGCTAGGCCTTTTAGTTAGAGTTAAAGTTACTCTTCCTGAAAAAATTGATACATCTAAAAGCGTGTTTTATTAAAATACTAAATATAGTAGTAATAAAGTAATTGGCATACCTGAAAATACTTACCACCTAATAAAGAAATCTGTGCTGCTTGATGCTGCTAACATTGTTCGATCCAATGACTAAAGAATCCAAGGACAAATAACACCCGAGAGCAAATTGTGACGATGTCACCAAACAGTGCCGTGGCACATATTTTTCTTAACCTAGCTGTTTGAAGCAATATTTATATTTTTTGATAATTGTTTTGACTACGCCTATGGTGTATCATCCTAACTAATTACGAAAAAAAACGTATTAAAATGTTAACAAAAGGTACAAAACTAGTATCGACGTATAGCACATATCAAGTACATATAGATGTAAATTGAAATTGAAGAATAATTATCGAATTCAATAAGAAAACGCTAAAAAGTTGGAGTGGACTGTTTATTTACCTATGAAACGTAACTCCTGGCTATTTCTTATCGCTGCTGCTTTTTCACTTGAAAGCTGAACAACTAATCACCATTGTAATAAAGTTTATACAAAGTTTACTACACACAAACTATTAAAAATAGCTAAATTTGTCGCTGGTGATCAAATGACGACTCATTGTTTGCCACCAAAACAAAAAAAAGGTCACAAATTCTGCTGCAGCCCGTATAGGGGCGTTACATGTCCTTATATTCTTTAGTCATTGGTTCGATCTTTCCTAGGTTGTGTTCTACGTCCCACTAGTCAACTCGCATACACACAATGTTGCCATCTGCTGTCGCCTTATTTTATGAACGGTTTTAAGAACGGCGGAAAGTGACGCCTAACTATAGTCAATTTTGTAAGAGCAGCTTTGGATGAAAACATCGTCAAAAATGTCAAGTGGCCACATTTATATATTTGTTTCCTGACATTGTCATTCCTTTTGACATTTGTATTACGAGTTTTTGGTTTAAATGAATTGTGTTGGATACTTTAAGCTTAAAAATTTTTATTTGTAGACCTTGCAGTCGAACATTGTTCTTTTTAGAACCTCTTTTAGTGCGAAGTGTACAAGATAGCTTAATAGCCGTAAAAACTCATCGGAACTTTATTAGAATATTTTGAACGGGAAAGCTGTAGTAATGGCCCTTTATCTCCTTTATGTGCTGTTAAGGAGGTGAGTTTTTTTGATGGAAATAATAACTGTTTATATATTTATAACTAATTTATTTTTGATTCCTAAAATATTTTGATTAAAAGAAAATATGCATGAGAGGTCAACGCTGTGCCGGTCAAGCTTAATCACGTGACTAAAGGTTTATTTGATATGAGCTATATGATATTAAAAGCCCGTAATGCTTCAATAATTAAGATAAAACCATAGAAATGGATTAACTAAAATCTGGCGTGTGTTTCTTTTTAATTTCAACTCGACGTTTTGAGGTTGCCTAATTGAAAGGCATTATGAAATAATGTATCGTAATGTACTACTAATCGTCGATTATAATCAGGATGGATTCTGATTAGAACTGACTATGATTTTCGGATAGGCTGAAAGCAAATCATTTGGGATTGTTGCTCCGTACGAATAAATCGCGTAATGATTGGAAATATTCAATTATGGAGTATTGTGCACGCACAGAAAATAGAAATTTTAATCCTAGAATATACAGTGTGGCGCCTCTCATACGCCACGGAAGCTCCAAGGAAAACGGTACTTTATATCGAAATGAGATTTTGGCAGCATATGTAGGTTAACTGAAAACATTTTAGTAAAATATATAGAGTTATACAGGGTGTCCCCCCAAAAAAATACACATCAAAGTTGTGTTTTTTCTAATGAAACACCCTATATATTAATTGATTTTCGGATTCTAGGAAAAAAATAAAGGTGAGTTTTGTTAAAGAAGCCTAGAACCTAAAATCTAAGGATTTTGACATATTTCACAATTTGTGAAAATGAAGAGTAAATGTTAAATTTCGATAACAGCTACCTAAGGAACTTTAGTTTCGGAGATATACATTTAATCGGACATTTTTAAAAAAATTAATTTTATTTTTCAGAAACTATTAGAGACAGAGTTTACCAAAAATGCTTTTTATAACTACTAGTGGGTAAATGAATTTCTAGATATATTACGAATTTTTTTGGAACTTTAGTTTCGGAGATATAAATTTAATCGGACATTTTTAAAAAAATTAATTTTATTTTTCAGAAACTATTAGAGACAGAGTTTACCAAAAATGCTTTTTATAACTACTAGTGGGTAAATGAATTTCTAGATATATTACGAATTTTCTTGGAACTTTAGTTTCGGAGATAGTTACTTTACTAGATAGATAGATACTTTACTATTATGTTTTGAATTTTCCAGTATTTACCGGTTGGCAAAGTACATATTAAATTATTTTTTAATTTGCATTTTTTTAAATAGCATGTTTTGCTTTTTAGATGTTTGTATTTAACTTTAACTACCTACCTGGAAAGTCCAAATTTTATCGTCAGGTAAAAATATGTGTATATAACTTGTTCTGCTATTGACAATTTTTTTAGAGTTTTTACTAAATTTTATGTAACAGTAAATATAACAATTGACGAGCACATGAGAAAACCGATGAGTATCCAGAAATGGATAAATGTTCCGGAAAGCGTTTTTTAATTCAAATTACGCATGGACTTTTATATCGTATTCCCATTTTTAAATGCCTGTTTCCATGTGGCCGTTATCGATATTCCCGTGTATTTAGGTACCAAAAGGTACTTGTATACAACTTGTCTTGCCATTGTCAATTTTTTTTTCAGTTTTTACTAAATTTTATCAAACATTAAAATTTATTACATAATTAACTACTAACAGTCATAATTACTGTTCATGATAACCATAAAATGTAGAAAAAAATCCAAAAAAAATGACAATGGGAACACAAGTTGTATGCAAAGGTACTTTTAATACCATACTATAAAATTTGGGCTTTCCAGGTAGGTAATTAAAGTAAAATGCAAATATCTATAAAGCAAAACATGCTATAATTTAAGAAATATGCAAATATATTATTATATATATTAAAAAAAAATAACTTATTATAAACATAGAAAATGTATTCTAAATAAATATTTAGAATACATTTTTCATATGTATATATTATGGTTTCAGTAGGAGATATTAGCCGATTGGGCTCCTCCACATGCGCAGTTCGCTTGACCTTGACATATGTGGCTTTCAAACCTCCTTGAGTGATTC